TGTAGTCGCCCATTGTCACTGTGACTGTGTTTATTGTAATCTTATATCATTAATGTATTCATATGTTTTATGTAGTTATGATGTTGTTTGTTTCATGTGTTTTTGGTTTTATTTGGCTGTAATTTGTTGATTGGGCTTGGCCTCATGGTAAGCCGGCCTGAGTCCCCGTTGGGAAGATGGTGGCGGGGTATAAATAAAGTTTATTTATTATTATTACTAGCCGTCCCTGCCACGCGTTGCTGTAGCCCACATAGGGGTTTTGTGGCCAAATTCTATTGTTGGTGGGTTCAGAATGCTCTGTGATTGTAAGTGAACTATAAATCCCAGCAACTACAACTCCCAAATGTCAAGATTCTATTTTCCCCAAACTCCACCAGTGTTCACATTTGGGAATATTGAGTATCTGTGTAGAGTTTGGTCCAGATCCATCATTGTTTGAGTCCACAGTGATCTCCGGATGTAGGTGAACTACAACTCCAAAACCAAGGACACTGCCCACCAAACCCTTCCAGTATTTTCTGTTGGTCATGGGAGAACTGTGTGCCAAGTTTGGTTCAATTCCATCGTTGGTGGGGTTCAGAATGCTCTTTGATTGTAGGTGAACTATAAATCCCAGCAACTACAACTCCCAAATGACAAAATCAATTTTTTGAGTGAAGGACATACATTGGATTGTTAGGTGTCTTGTGTCCAAATTTGGTGTCAATTCGTCCAGTGGTTTTTGAGTTCTGTTAATCCCACAAATGAACATTACATTTTTATTTATATAGATATTATTATTATTATTATTATTCCAATATGCCTTCTGCATTTGCTGATTCCCTCCTTTAAAAAGCTTCAGTCCATCAAAAATGCTGCAAATTGACCAAGGCAAAATTTGCAGAAATTTGCAGAAATAAAAGAGAGGCTGGATGGCCATCTGTCAGGGGTGCTTCTGGGCAGCGGGTTGGACTCGATGGCCCACGAGTGTCTTCCAACTCTAGGATTCTATGATTCTAAATAAGACCAGTACCCAATAGCCGGACTCCAAATGGTTTGATGGCAAACCTTACATTATATTACATTTGATATTTCATACTCTGACTCTCCCAAGTAATATGTGATTCGTTGGATAATGTCAGGGACCAAACTGAGAGAACAACAGGTTTAAATGCTTAAAATGGATTGTCCTCGGAATAGTTTGATATTCCTGGCTTCTTGCAATGCTTTTCTGGGATTTGCAGTTCAGTGAGTTTTCTAGAACTCTGTCTTGGAAAAGTCTGGTTCTCTTGTGTCAGAAACAGATGATAGGTATATTGTTGAAGGCTTTCATGGCCGGAAAGAGGATGCTTGCCATAGATGCAGGCGAAACGTCAGGAGAGAATGCCTCTAGAACATGGCCATATAGCCCGAAAAAACCTACAACAACCCAGTTGATAAGTGCTATATTATAAGTGCAAATATCAATATTACAAGTGAAAAATGCTGGACTCTAGACGACAAGAAGTGTGGCACAAATGGCCCCTGTCCACAAGAAGATGCCAATTGAAAGGAAAAAGCAAAGCAGGTAGTTGCAAAAGCATCATGCAAACAAGACAAAGGAGCAAATTTGAAATATAGGTTCTGGATGCAATTAGAAAAGTGGACTGCCGAAAGAAGGGAATTCCTGAGTCCTGTCCCCTTTTCTCTGGAAGTGATTCCCCCAAAACTGGAGAATTTGCACTGAATCTGGTGACGTGGCACCAGATTGCAACAGAGAGTTGTTCTTCGTGCATAAAACACCAAGTGACGCTTCTCATTCTGTTCAAGGACTAAATACAAGTTTCTGGGTAGAGTTCAGCCTTCATTGAGAACAGGTCATATTGTGCATTAGCCTCCCATATTTTGTACCCACCGGATATGCTGGACTATAATTCCCATCATTGGGCTGCTGTGATTTTCCGGGCCGTATGGCCATGTTCCAGAAGCCGGAACAATGGCTTCAAACTACAAGAGAGGAGATTCCATCTGAACATGAGGAAGAACTTCCTGACTGTGAGAGCCGTTCAGCAGTGGAACTCTCTGCCCCGGAGTGTGGTGGAGGCTCCTTCTTTGGAAGCTTTTAAACAGAGGCTGGATGGCCGTCTGTCAGGGGTGATTTGAATGCAATATTCCTGCTTCTTGGCAGAATGGGGTTGGACTGGATGGCCCAGGAGGTTTCTTCCAACTCTTTGATTCTATGATTCTATGATGTTTTGCCCACATCTATGGCAGACATCCTCAGAGGTTGTGAGGTCTGTTGTAAACTAGGCAAGTGAAGTTTATATATCTGTGGAATAATGTCCAGGGTGCGAGAAAGAACTCTTGTTTAATTTAGGCAGGTGTGAATGTTGCAATTGGCCACCTTGATTAGCATTTAATGGCATTGCAGCTTCAATGCCTGGCTGGTTGCTGCCTGGGGAATATTTGTTGGGAGGTTTTTGCATTTTATGTTTTTGTGTAATACTGTGTTTATTGTGTTGATGGGCGTGGCCTCGTGTAAGCCGCCCCGAGTCCCCCTGGGGGAGATGGAGCGGAGTATAAATAAATAATAAGAATTATTATTATTATTATTATTATTATTATTATTATTAGCTGGCCCTGATTGGTTCTTGTCTGGAATTCCCCTGCTTTCTTAATGTTGCTCTTTACTTACAGTCCTAATTTTAGACTTTTTAAAATACTGGTAGTCATGGGTTGTTGTAGGTTTTTCCAGGTTATATGACCATGTTCTAGAGGCATTTTCTCCTGACGTTTCACCTGCATCTATGGCAAGCATCCTCAGAGGTAGTGAGGTCTGTTGGAAGTAGGAAAATGGGTTTATATATCTGGAATGACCAGGGTGGGGCAAAGGACTCTTGTCTGCTGGAGCTAGGTGTGAATGTTTCAACTGACCACCTTAATTAGCATTTGATGGCTTGGCAGTGCCTGGGGCAATCTTTTGTTGAGAGGTGATTAGATGTGCCTGATTGTTTACTCTCTGTTGTTTGGTAGCAATATTTTGTTCCTTTTCATGGTTTCCTCCTTTCTGTCGAAATTGTCCACATTGAAGCTGCAAGGCCATTAAATGCTAATCAAGCTGTCCAATTGCAACATTCACACTTGCCTCAAGCAGACAAGAGTTCTTTCTCCCACCCTGGACATTTCCACAGATATATAAACCTCACTTGCCTAGTTTCCAACAGACCTCACAACCTCTGAGGATGCCTGCCATAGATGTGGGTGAAACGTCAGGAGAGAATGCTTCTGGAACATGGCCAGACAGCCCGGAAAACTCACAGTAACCCAGTGATTCAAGCCATGTGTCTATCATTGTTTGGGTAAAGGGTGGGTAAGGTCAGGATGGGAATGATGTGTTTCTCCAACTATCATCATCCACCAGCACTCTCCACCACTGCCAATCCTAGCTAGGACTGCTGGGATTTTGTATGTTTCCAAGGCATATGTCTCCATTTCAGCACAGACCTACACAAAGATGTCCGTTCCAGACTTTTCGCTTCCCTCTGCCTCTTTGTTTCCAATCAAGCATCGCTTGCAATTAAGCCGAGATGATGGGCTTATTTCCCTGGATAAGCACAGGCCCAGGTGGGAGCCGGGCGAGATGTCAACCAAAAGGAAGTCTTGACACTGGCAAATTTTAATTCAAATCTAAACCTCTAAATTTGGTTGCTGGCCATGGCAGGAAACTCCTGTTTGCCATATGCAAACCTGGAAGGGGAAATTACACGCCGAGACTCCAAACTGGTGGGGTTGCGGACACTTTGTCAGTCACTCTTGTGTTTAAAGGTCTCGTTGGGGAGGATGAGGAGGGTCATAAATCAGCCCCAAAGAAAAGAAGCGTACTCAGCAGCAGAGTAGCAAAGCACAAGGGCAGATGCCTTCACTGTGTCTGGTTGTGATCCCCAGGTTGTGCCAGTCAGCTTTCGTACAATATTATTTCTAGCACTCACTTTTTTTATAAGTCAGAGCATGGTCCAGAGTAACTCCCAGGTATTTTTATTTGTCGTGTCAGGACAACCAGTCAAATTATATTACATTTCTAACAGAACAAAGCAAACAAACAGACAAAATACAAAATTTGTGAGTTTGGTAGTTGATTAAATGCCCTTTGACCAGTAGCTGGCCATTTGGTGTGACTCTGGTGTTGCTGCAAGAAGGTCCTCCATTGTGCATGTGGCAGGGCTTAGGTTGCATTGCAGCAGGTGGTCAGTGGTTTGCTCTTCTCCACACTCGCATGTCATGGATTCCACTTTGTAGCCCCATTTCTGAAGGTTGGCTCTGCATCTCGTGGTGCCAGAGCGCAGTCTGTTCAGCGCCTTCCAAGTCGCCCAGTCCTCTGTGTGCTCAGGGGGGAGTCTCTCATTTGGTATCAGCCATTGGTTGAGGTTCTGGGTTTGAGCCTGCCACTTTTGGACTCTCGCTTGCTGAGGTGTTCCAGCGAGTGTCTCTGTAGATCTTAGAAAACTATTTCTAGATTTAAGTCGTTGACGTGCTGGCTGATACCCAAACAAGGGATGAGCTGGAGATGTCTCTGCCTTGGTCCTTTCACTATTGGCTGCTACTTCCCGGGGGATGTCAGGTGTTTTGGCACTATAATGATATATAATAACAATCCTGCAAGAATTCACTAATTTGTGAACAGTTAATGTAAATTATAAACATATTTAACTATAATAAATATAAATGTAACATAAACATATTGGTAAATATGTATTCTTTTCACTTCTTGTGTTGTTCCTTTCAGGGGAGCGTGAGCACAACTCAGTCCTCATTTGTCCCTTTGCCTGGTAAGTATATATTTTTCTCTAGAAACCAGACAGTGGAGACATTTGCGGGTTTAGCTTTGTAGATATGATGAATGGGTTCTCTGTAGGAATGTTCTAGGTCCTCCAGCACAATTCTATTGTCACAATCAACCATGGAGTTGCACTGGAGGACCTAAAGATTCCTGGAGAGAATACCTTTTCAAGCATTTTTAGGTCGTCCAGCATTAAAGGGCCTAGAAATTCCTAGATAAGTGCTTTATTGGGTTTATAAAGTAGCATTTTACCAAATGAGTGCCTTTATGTGGACCCTGCACCCTGAAAGTGGCATGACTATTAATCCCAATCTAATCTGATTACCATTATGGACACCTATGCCACATGGAGCCCCCGGTGGCACAATGGGCTGGACCCTTGTGCCGGCAGGATTGATGGGCAACAGGTTGCAGGTTCATATTCAGGGAGAGCATGGATGAGCTCCCTCTGTCAGCTCCAGCTCCCCATGCAGGGACATGAGAGAAGTTTTGATGGTAAAACATCAAAACATCCAAGCGTCCCCTGGGTAACGTCCTTGCAGACAGCCAATTCTCTCACACCAGAAGCAACTTGCAGTTTCTCATGTCGCTCCTGACACAAAAAACAAACAAACCCTATGGGTTATTGTAGGTTTTTTCGGGCTATATGGCCATGGTCTAGAGGCATTCTCTCCTGATATTTCGCCTGCATCTATGGCAAGCATCCTCAGAGGTAGTGAGGTCTGCAGAAAAGAGTCCTTTGTCTCACCCTGGTCATTCCACAGATATATAAACCCATTTTCCTACTTCCAACAGACCTCACTACCTCTGAGGATGCTTGCCATAGATGCAGGCGAAACGTCAGGAGAAAATGCCTCTAGACCATGGCCATATAGCCCGAAAAAACCTACAACAACCCAGTGATTCCAGCCATGAAAGCCTTCGACAATACATTAACCAAAACCTATGCCACATTTTTCTACCTTGTGTTCCTCTGACCTCTTTCTTAACCACATTTCCCCATTGTCCATAAAGGTTCCCCCACTGGTTATTATGGGGTTCGGAGATCCCTCGTGTCAGACATGGATTTACAAAGCAACAAGCAGATCCCTGGCGACGTCTACGCCTCTTCTCTCATGACGAAGCCATTCGGGTACGAGTCGCCGGCAGCGCAAGGGTATCCCTCCCTCCTGGACTCCCATTTCATGGACCAATATGTTGACCATCGGGCTGCTTCCGGAGCCTCCGCCCTCTTCGGCGCTTCGCCCCTGACATCCGTTGGGCCGTCGTTTCCAAGCGACTCTGCACACTTTTTAGCTGTAAGTAAATGGAATTGCATATCTTAAGCGGGGAGAACGTACACACGAGGTCCTCCTGATATTGGCATCTGAGGTTCTCCAAACATTGATGGGTAACAACTTCCATTATCCATGGCTGGGCCAGTGGGCAACCCACATCAACCTTTGGTTTTGTTTCCAGTCTTGTAGCTGCTTCCTTTCTGTGTAGGATTTGAAGAAAGCATACACAATAAAGCATTGCACCACACACAGTTCTTTCACAAATTTCATTACTAGCCTTCTATTCTAAGATGCATGTCACCCCCTCCCCTTTTTAAAAAATACATATCAATAAAGCTTTTTTTCTGCTGATGGTGTTGATGTACACCTTTTCCCTCTCTCTTTTCCTTTCTTCCTTTTTTAATACCCTTGCTTCCCCACATACACCTTCCTCTCTCTTTTTCCCCCTTCCTTCCTTCCTTCCTTCCTTCCTTCCGAGGTCTGCTACACCTTCCTCTCTCTCTCTTTCTTTCTTCCTTCCTCCTTCCATCCTTTCTCTCTCTCTCCTCTTTCTCTCTTCCTTCTTCCTTTCCTTCCTCCTTCTTCTTTTCTCCTTTCTTTCTCTCTTCCTCCTTCCTTTTCCTTCCTTCCTCCCCTTTTCTTCTTCCTTCCTCCTCCTTTCTTTCCTTCTTCTCCTTTCCTTCCTTTCCTTCCCTCTCTTCTCTTTCTTCCTTCCTTCTCCTTCCTTCTTCTTCTTTCTTTTCCTTCTCTCCTTCTCTCTCTCTTCCTCTCCTTTCCTCTTCCTTCCTTCCTTTTCCTTCTCTTCCTTCTCCTTCCTTTTCTCTCTCTCTCTTTTCTCCTTCTTCCTTCCTTCTCCTTCCTTCCTTCTTCTCCTTCCTTTTCCTTCCTTCCTTCTTCCTTCCTTTCCTTCCTTCTTCTTCCTTCCTTCCTTCCTGTCTCTCTCTTCCCTTCCTCCCTTTCTTCCTTCCTTCCTCTCTCTTCCTTCCTTCCTCTTTCCTCCCCCCCTTCCTTCCTTCCATCCTTCCTTCCTTCCTTTCTTCCTTCTAGAACAGTGTATCTCCGGCCAAATATATATATCGTTTTGGATGACACAGGGAAGCTTAAAACCCCAATGGGGTTTCTTTTGTCGTCTGTGCCTCTGTGCAGAAGATGTCACCTCACTTTCTGTCCCTCTCAAAATTGGATTTTGAAAAAATTGGCTTGTTGTGGAAACAAGGTTTGGTGATATAGCTTCAACGGAGACATATTTTCCCCATGATAATTACTCTTCCAGGAGTGGATTTCCCTTCTGAGGGGAAGATTTCTCTCACTTCCTGTTGTCTCACCCCTGTTCTTAACTAAGAGTCGAGTGTTTGTAACTCAGGGACTGCCTGTGGTAGAATGTAAATCAAAACTCATGATTGGAAATTGACTGAGTAGACCAGGCATGGGCAAGCTTGGGCCCTCCAGGTGTTTTGGACTTCAACTCCCACAATTCCTAACAGCCTACCGGCTGTTAGGAATTGTAGGAGTTGAAGTCCAAAACACCTGGAGGGCCCAAGTTTGCCCATGCCTGGGGTAGACCTTCTGCCACAAGAGATGGGTCTTCAGTTGCATTTTACATTCTTAATTTTCAGTTCTTAAGGATCGGTGTCGAGCAGTGCTTCCTCGATGCTGTTTCAGAAAATGTCTCTCTTGTTGCCTCCTTCTCAGAGAGATACCTGGGATCAGTCCTTACCTGACAGTCTGGGTCAATCAGAGGCCTGTCCAGAGTCCCTCCAGGTGCCTCCAACCACCGGCTGCCTCTCTTCCCTCGATCCAGGGACGTCTTCTCAATACCGAAGCCCCAGTTGGAGCTCCCTCGTCTCTGGGCCGCAGCCCTACTCCTTCCACACCCTTGAGGATGTCCACTACGGCTACTCCGCTTCCTCGGCGTATCCTTTCTCCTCTTTGATGGCCGCCGTGTCCAGCGATTTGGGCTCCAAGGCCTTCCACACTCCTTCTTCTTCTTTGGAAGAGTCTTCCGACGCAGCTCCGCTCCATGAAGGCAACACTCTTTGGCCGAAGGAAGACGGGAACCCACTTTGGGGCTCCTATGAATCCCGAAGGACTTACTGAGTCAAAGCAGAAGGCTCAATCCACCATCCAAAGGAAGATTTCAACAATCACTGATACTCTCACAACAGAAGGAACCCAACCAGCTTGTTGTGAGTTTCCGGGCTGTCTAGAAGCATTCTCTCCTGATGTTTCGCCTGCATCTATGACAGGCATCCTCAGAGGTTGTGAGGTCTGTTGGAAACTAGGCAGGTGGGGTTTATATGAGGGTTGAATGAAAAGTAATGCCTCGACCTTCATAACTCCTCAACTGATGGCAGTACTGGTATGCGGCAGGTACTGGCTTGTTCAGTAGACTCTCCTCTACATTTCCATTTTGATGGAACATTGAACATTGAACATCTTAGCATTGAACAGATGTGTTGTTAAAGTGCAAAGTATGGAACCCTGCGTACACGATCGGTCAATGCAACTTAATGCAACTTAAGCAACGCTTCCCCTGCCAAAGTTAGTTGGTGCCTCACCAAATTATGAAATCCATGCTTCCATAGCATTGAGACATGGCAGTTATAGTGATGTCAAACTGAATTAATTCTACGAGGGTTGAGTGAAAAGTAATGCCTCCACCTTCATAACTCCTCAACAGATGGCAGTACTGGTATGCGGCAGGTACTGGCTTGTTCAGTAGATTCTCCTCTACAGTTCCATTTTGGCAGGAAGCTTTAGCATTGAACAGATGTGTTGTTAAAGTGCAAAGTATGGAACCCTGCACAGACGATCGGTCAATGCAACTTAAGCAATGTGCAGTCATTGAATTCTTGACAGCAGAAGGTGTCACCCCAAAGGAGATTCATCAGAGAATGCAAGCTGTTTGTGGGGATTGTGTTGATGTGAGGACTGTGCGTCATTGGGCCAGTAAGTTTAAATATGTTGAGGTGGGCATAGCTGACTTGCATGACAAACAAAGAGTTGGACGCCCTGTGACAGCAACCACCGATTTTCACAAGTAAAAGGTCGACAGATTGATTCAGGATGATTGTCGTATCACTCAGAGAGAAATTTCAAGCATAATTGGCATTTCACAAGAACGTGTTGGTCACATTATTTCTTTGCTTGGCTATCGGAAGATCTGTGTACGATGGGTACCCAGGATGAGAGAACTGTGAGACGCTGGTTGCGGAAACAGAGTGTCGACTTCTTCTGTGACGGCTTCAGAAAAGTTGTTCATTGTTGGCAGAAATGTATCCAATTGCCTGGTGATTATGTGGAAAAGTGAATAGTGGTAGTTAAAGAGCACATTCTAAGGATTATTTCTGCGTTTGATTTATTAAAATATTCCCATCCAAACCAAAGTAAGTGCACCCATACTTCAGACATAAATCAATGAAAAGCCCCCCCAAAATTGCACGATGCACAGCCACCAAGTTTCCCAAGCAAAAGGTTGACAGATTCAGGACGATTGTCGTATCACTCAGAGAGAAATTTCAAGCAAGTTAAAGAGCACATTCTAAGGATTATTTCTACGTTTGATTTATTAAAATATTCCCATCCAAACCCAAGTAACGAAGGTGGAGGCATTACTTTTCATTCAACCCTCGTATATCTGTGGAATGATGTCCAGGGTGGGAGAAAGAACTCTTATCTGCCTGAGGCAAGTGTGAATGTTGGAGTTGGCTCAAACAGACTTGCCTTAAGCTGACCAGAGTCCTTTCTCCCACCCTGGACATCATTCCACAGATATTTAAAACCCCACTTCCCTAGTTTCCAACAGACCTCACAACCTCTGAGGATGCCTGTCATAGATGTGGGTCAGGAGAAAATGCTTCTGGAACATGGCTATACGGTCCGGAAAACTCACAACAACCCAGTGATTCTGGCCATGAAAGCTTTCAACAATACAAGGAACCCAACCATTTCTTTGGGCTAAAGACACAACTCATATAGTCAACGCTGCTTACTAGGAAGTACACCTTGCGTGGACAACAAATACATACTGCAATGTTATTCCAAACTAGCTGTCCCCTGCCACGCAACAGACTGGGCTGTGGCCCAGTCTGTTGATCTGGAAAATAAAGTAATGAGAAAGTGTTGGTTTCTAATATATGTAATTTCTTTATACCTGTGGGTAAACAGTATTTCTTGCTGTTTCTTTGTTAGTGTTGATGTGGAGAGTGTCTGGTTTGCCCACACTGGAACATGCAACATATCACTGTCCTTCTTTAAGGGTCCCTTTCAAATCTATGATACTATATCTCTCTCTGTGTGTGAATCATATCTATCTATCTATCTATCTATCTATCTATCTATCTATCTATCTATCTATATTGATGGCTGGATGGCTCTTTATCAGGATGGCTTTGATTACATTTTCTTTCCCTGATGAAGGGAGTTGGATTGGATGGCCTTAAGTATTTTCTGTTGGTCATGGGGGTTCTGTGTGGGAAGTTTGCCCCGATTCTGTTGTTCGTGGGGTTCAGAATGCTCTTTGATTGTAGGTGAACTGTGAATCCCAGTGACTACAACTCCCAAATGTCAAGGTCTATTTCCCTCAAATGCCATCTGTGTTCATATTTGGGTGTATTGAGTGCTTGTGCCAAGTTTGGTCCAGATCCATCATTGTTTGAGTCCACAGCGCTCTCTGGATGTAGGTGAACTACAACTCCAAAACTCAAGGTCAGTGCCCACCAAACCCTTCCAGTATTTTCTGTTGGTCATGGGAGTTCTGTGTGCCAAGTTTGGTTCAATTCCAATGTTGATGGAGTTCAGAATGCTTTTTGATTTTAGGTGAACTATAAATCCCAGCAACTACAACTCCCAAATAACAAAATCATAATTTTTTGTGTTGTGAGACGTTTTGTTGCCTATTTTGGTGTGATTTCGTTCATTAGTTCTTTTGTTTTTAAGGTACTCATTATGACCAGAGCATTTATATATATATATAGATGATGGGGAAAGTGTTGGGGAGGAATTATTCTGCAGAGAAATACAGAATTCTCTTTATTTGTTTGTTTGTTTGTTTGTTTGTTTACACAAAACAGGCACATACCTATAACTCTGAAGAATAAATCCTTCTCAACATCCCACTTCGTTCTGCAATCTTTCAGGATATTGGGAAAACTTTTCGCTATTTCGGCCTTGTTTTTGGGATGCAAATTGCTACAATTGATCCTCTCATGGGCACAAGAGGGAGCTCTTTGCACATCTCTAATATGAATTCTTTGCAGATTTTTCCCCCATTGAAGATGGAACGAAATAGGGGCAAACTGAAGGAGTCTAGGGGCTCATCTGGGCAGTACATATATCCCAGGAACTTCCAGAGCAAACAGGAGGGTGGCCAGATGCCTTTCCCTGTAAACATGGAAGCAATAGCTACAAAAGGCAAAAAACGCACGATTTCCAGGTGCGGGAATATTGTGGTTTTGAGCCAAATATGCGGATCTTCGCATGTCTGTATGTCCCTGCAATTGGAAATCACAGGATTTTAATTCTAAGTTTGTTCCTGGGTTTTAGATGTTTGTTCCTGGTTGGTTGGTTCCTAAAAAGAAGGGGACACTTGAGTAGAAGGTGAAAACTTTGTTTGTGAGCCAGAAACTTCATGAAACATGCGGAGGGCACATTTTTCTCTGGCCAGGACAAAGTTGTACACCCCTAGTCGACATTGTACATATTTTCACATGAAGAGAAATCAGGAACAAACATGTATACTCCAGGAACAGCACCCTGTTGTTTGATGCCACAAGTACACAACCAAATCTGTCCGGACAGATGGCCAGGCGCTCAATAATGACAGAGTTCTTTTCCTGGCTTGAAAGTGTGTGTTCCTGTTTCATTGTGCAGTGCTAACTTGGGCAGAAGTGGTCCTCCCTCATAAGGTTTGTTTGTGTGGCAGATACTTCATGAAACATGTGAACGGCATAGTTTCTCTTGCTAAGACCAAGAAGGGAACTTTTGCGGTGATCTGCATATCCGAATCTCTGCATATCTGCATATTCGCATCTTGAGGCTTCCAGCAGGAGTCCTGTGGTGGCATCTTGGGAGCCTCTAAATCTCGCAACAAAGCATCAAGTCTGCACAATGGAGGCAGAAATCCCGGGACCAATAGGTCTGTATGTGGACCTCTTCTAAAGTCCCGGGAATTTTTGCCTCTATTTAAAACCCGTGATTTAGTGGTGTCTGGAAGTGCCCTAGGTCAAGTTGTTTTAAATTTAGGATCCGAGGACCAAGTCAGAGTCCTATGCACCTTGCAAAATGTGCATCTAATCACCTCTCAACAAAAGTTTGCTCCAGGCACTGTCAGGCCATTATATGCTAATCAAGGTGGTCAGTTGAAACATTCACACCTAGCTCCAGCAGGCAAGAGTTCTTTGTCCCACCCTGGTCATTGTACAGATATATAAAAACCCATTTTCCTACTTCCAACAGACCTCACTACCTCTGAGGATGCTTGGCATAGATGCAGGCGAAACGTCAGGAGAGAATGCCTCTAGACCATGGCCATATAGCCCGAAAAAATCTACAACAACCAAAGTGAACAATTCCCACTGGATTTGCATGGATGATTTGTTGCTTTGATTTTGTTCCTCAATTTGTTTTTCAATGATCCAATTCGCAACCTTTAATGTTATTTTTATTTTAGTGGAAATGTGGGATTAAAATGTAAAATCATATATAAATTATGTGCTCTCTCTCTCTCTCTCTCTCTCTCTCTCTCTCTCTCTATATATATATATATATATATATATATAATATTTATTTATGATATTTATTTGCCGCCCTTCTCACCTGGAAGGGGACTCAGAGCGGCTTACAAGTAATATGTAAATACAATATATTATATTATTACCATAGCACAATATTAGTATTATATATTACCGGTGCCTGGCCGCTGTAATGGTCTGGATGAGGGCGAACAAACTGAAATTAAATCCAGACAAGACAGAGGTACTCCTGGTCAGTCGCAAGGCCAAACAGGGTATAGGGTTACAGCCTGTGCTGGATGGGGTCGCACTCCCCTTGAAGGCGCAGGTTCGCAGCTTGGGTGTGATCCTGGATTCATCGTTGAG